TTAAACCATATGGAGAAGATATAAGCACTCATTCTGATGCCTCAGGCTACATATGAGCAGCTGAGAAAAAGAGCACACATTTACATGCACAAGTATAGTATAGTATGTGTTCCTGTGGTCTTGCCTTTTGAAACCGAACCTCCCCTTTTCTTTCCCCTTCTATGTGTATTTTCTCTTCATTTCTCCTCTTCCTCTCTCTCTTTCTCGCTGTCTCTCTCTATCTCTTCATCCTTCCCTCCTCCCCTTTCCTGAATCTGATTACCAAAGAAATAATACTGCCAGTTGCCAGTTTTCTAAAACTTTGGAACATGGGTTTATAATTTGATTTAAAAAAAAAAAAAAAAAAAAACACACTGCTGAATTACGAGCAGACTTTTGGCCAGAATTCAACATTTGTGACAGGTCTGAGGAAATACAAGAAAGCTCCATTTTCTCCTAATACTGCAGGCTATAATAATTTGCTATCAAGAGTCATGACTGAACAGAGAAAATCCTCCCTTTGCTGTATTCATTAAAATAAGAGACATAAAACAGCCAACATTCATATCCAGTAGAATTTCAGCAGTCTGATCTTGGACATATGGATCAAAAATAGGATTTCTCATAACAGTATTATTTAATACCGTATATTTATATAAAATATGAGAAGATACACAGGCCTCAATAGGTTCTTATACAGTTTCCTGAATATAGTAATCTTAATATTGTATCCAAGGAGTCATGCATTCAACAAACATTTGAACAGTTGCATAGAACCAGGGACTTTGCTGGATGTTAAGAATACAGACATGGTCCATGCCTCAAGGACCTTGCACCCTCATAGGGAGGAAGAGATATGTCAGTAAGTGCAAAACGTGGAATGGACCACAGTTGAAGCCTGTACAGGGTAGAGAGTAAACAGGGAAAACCAGTAATTGGGCAAGGGGACAGCAGAACAAAGCATTTCAAGAAAGGGTCTGAGCAGTAAGTGTATACTTGAGCTGAACCATGAAAATTGTCATGGCTGGACCACAGGAGGGCGGGAAGGGCGGAGGGGGGTCAGGCAACAGAAATGAGCCAGAGAGGTCATTGTCATTTTAAGACAGATCGTGGATGCCTTTCATACCACGCTAAGGCTTTTGGAGTTTGTCGTGATGATCCATTAAAGGATTATAATCTTTATGAGGAACATTATTAGTTTTATATTTTAGCAAGCCCCTCTGCTTGACATTTTAAGAAGATGGATTGGCAGAGGGAAAATTAGGAGTCTAAAGATCAGTTAAGAGCTTATTGCATTAGTTAAGGCTGAGATGAGAAGGCTAGAACTAATGCAACAGCAGTGGTGATGAAGAGAAGAAAGGGATGTGTTAGATAATAAGGATATAAAATACACAGGTCTTGATTACTAACTGGTTGTAGGAAGTGAAGGAAAGGCCTGTGGTACTTTCAGGATGCTGGTGTAGTGATCAGGTGGACAAGCTCTATTTTCACTCCTAGGATAGGAATACAAGAAGAGAAGCAGGCTTATTTAACAAGATAATGAATTTAGTGCTTATCAAATGTATTAAAAAAGAGAGCTCTTGCTAGAAATACATTTGAGTCAACTGCTACTTACTCTTACAGTCATTATAATGTTAGTAATAACATGGAGTATGATTCTCCTTATATGCTTCTTCATTTTAACAAACTATGATTTACTGCCAACATACCTCATCTTTTAAGAGTAAATAAAGTAGCATTTGAATTGATAAGGTAAAGCGCTCATTTGTAGATGTAATAATTTGTTACATAAGTGTGTGTTTTGGTCTTGGTATAGTTAAAAATAATGACAGTGCTTAACAGAACCTATCAAAATGTAGAGCTTAAGGTTCTTTACATTTTTTATTAGTAGGCCGTGTAAATTAAGGCTTAGGCATACAGTCTAGCTGCATAGCAATGTAAAATTGTCCAGCTGTCAATGGGTAATATAAACATATTGAATATTTTCAGTGTTAACTCATTTTTCAATTCATTGAATATAATAGCTTTGCTCAACATCTTGACTTGTTCTGTTGTAACTGAGTTTTTCAAATTCCAATTCTGAAAACATATAGTTCATCTAAGATATGGTATAATGTGTTTGTCATTTGCAAGATTTTTTTTTAATTAAAATAATCGACATTTCTAGGTCTTAAAAGATGCTGATGTGCTGCTGGTAGACAGGTGTATGAATAGATGGATAGACAGAAAATAGTTTATGGTGATGTAAATTGAAGGATGGTGTATGATCTATAGAAGTTAAGAGGGGGCTCTGGTATCAAATCCTTGTTCTACTCTCTGATGGCTAAATGACTTTAGACAAGTATCCTGAATTCTCTGTGCCTCAGTTTCTTGATTCATAAGATTGAAAAAAAGAATAGTGCTTCCTTCATCGAGTTTATGTGATGATTAAATGAGAGAATGCATTTAAAGGTCTTAGCACCAATTGACATTCTAAAAATGCTGGCGAGGAGGAGAAGGAGAAGGAGAGTTCTTAAGTGGAGAACCAATAAATTGACATTTGGGTATATTTTTTAATTTGCTTATCACAATGATTTAGGTGGTTCGAGTGAGAATATTTCATCCTTAACGTTCAGCAACCTTATTTGGGTGACATTTGGTAAAAGGAACTGAATTACATGATCTATAGTACCTTCTAGCTCTCTGACTGAATTCCAGGAATAAATAAAGCTTTTAGTATGCTAATGAAAGCATCGTTAAGATAACATTAGTCTCCTAAATAAGAAATTTATCTTTAAATATGATTATCATTCTCACATTAATAGGAAATCTTTTAGCATATAGATAAGCCAGAAAAGATTATTTAACCACAAAAAATGCTAAACTGTATGAACTAGAGATAGAAAAAAAACGGTATTGTAGTTCTTTCTATATTTAGAATTACTTCTGACTCCACTTTCACGTGTCTATAGTTTTCCAGCCTCTGACAAATTTCAGAGTCATGTGATTAAAGTAATCTATAGTGGGCATTTTCATATTCATGCCACTATGGTAAGTGTCACATCCTTGGCCCAAGTTTTAAAACACTGTTTAGGCTTTCGGATTATTTTTGTCCTGAAGAAGATTATGTGGGAAATTAGCTGAGTATTTTATAAGACAATAATACTATTAGAGTTGTTAGTAATTAGATTTAATAACTGTAAGCATATATAGCTATTCAAATCCATAAAAGTGAGTGGGATTCCTGAGAGACTTTTCCCCATCTTCCACCTCTGCTGCTCTAATCCAAGTCATCATCATCATCATCCTTTACTGGGTCTATTGTAGCAAAGAACTGAGCACTAACCACCTTCTGTGCTTCTACCCTTGGCCATGTACTCCATCTTCCACATAGCAGCCAGAGAGATTGTATCCTATCACTCTGCTACTTGATAGTAATAAAAATATTAATGCTTCCCATTGTACCCAATTAAACTCATACTTCTCACCATGTCCTACCATCTAGACATCACTTTGGACCATTCTTCCCCCTCCCTCACTCTACTCCTGCCACACTAGCTTTCTTGTCCTTCTAGAAGCACAACAGCTTATTCCTTCCCTAGAACTTTTGTGCAAGCTGTTCCCTCTACCTGGAAACCTTCGCTTCAAATCGTCCGTGGATGGCTCCTCTGTCATTTAGGCTCAACTAAAATACCATCTCTTCAGAAATACCTTTCCCAACCCCAGAGAATATTTTTAAATAAACATGTTTTCATTTTGAGGGTTAAAAAATATCACAACTGGGTTTCGGATATGTTCACTTGAGAAATATGTTCTATCCAAAAAATTAAAAATTCTTTATTGGCTATTACTTAGCATTACTTAGTATTTTCCTACAGATCCTCTATTCTTTCATGGTGCAACTTGGGCACATACTGACTGTCTTAGTCTGTTCGGGCTGCTGTAACAGAATACCACAGTCTGAGTGGCTTATAAACAACATAAATTTATTTCTCACAGTTCTGGAGGTTGGGAAGTCCAAGATCAAGGTGCCAGCAGATTTGGAAGCAGAACTTGCTTCATAGACGGCTCAATTCTTGCTATGTCTTCACATGGTGAAAGGGTTGAGGGATCTTTCTGGAATTCTTTTATAAGGGTACTAATCCCATTCACCCCTCAAAGGCCCCATCTCCTAATACCATCAGATTGGGAGTTAGGATTTCAGCGTATGAATTGGATTGGCGGAGATGGGGGGAACACGACCATTCAGTTTACAAAACTGACCTATATTATACTGAAATTATGTCCTGTGTGTAGAAAGCATCTATCTTCTGGTGGAGGTAGATACACCTTGCCCAGCAGTCCTGTACCAGAAGCACAAACTCTAAGACTTCTGCAACTGTTTTAGGTAGGATGTTCCATGCTACGGTTCATTAAAAGGCAAATGGACAACTGAAAAATGCATGCAATGTGCTGCTTTTAAAGACATGGAAAATTGAATGACTAAAAAGAAAATTCACAAATAACTAAAAAGTTCATAAATCAGAATAGACATTCTCAAGGCCACAGTCACCCTCCTAGGGCATTAAACATGTCTTATCTCTTAGAAGTCATCAAGCCTAACTCTTAGAATAGAATAGGTTTAGCTCTTAGCTCTTTTGTGATACACAGGATAGCACAAGGATTGTAACTCTGTTTAATTGCTGTATTTACATGTGTCAAGACCTTCAGAGGATCAGGGATCTCTGTTGATTCTCCAGCACGTGGTCAAATGGCTCATGTGTTAATAAACCTCTTAGAAAGTAAAAACATACCACCTGCCAGGAACATTTTATAGAGATATAATCTATTTGAGTTTTTAACAGCCATATATAGAAGGTCAATTATACTTCTTGATCAGTTTTCATGATATAATATTCCATATGAGAAGCAAGATCCATTATCACCTGTATTTTATCAGTTCTTCTGTGTCACAGTCTTTCAGGAAAGATTTTTTTGCCCATATGTTCCAAATGCGTGATATTATTCCTCTGACAAACGCTGTTTCTGCTTGACTGTTTCAGTGCTTTTATGTAATGGAAAATTTCACAAACACTTGCAAGAAATCTTTGTGCCCTTGGTTGTCCGCTATGTGGATCTCATGGAGTCCTCCATCGCCCAGTCAATTCACAGAGGTTTTGAGCAAGAGACGTGGCAGCCTGTCAAGTAGGTATCTTGCCTAGTGTCCGTAAAGCGTCTGCCTCTTCAATCCTCACCTTATGACTTTACACATGGCCATCTGTAGTTATTGCTTATGGTGGTCCCTTTCCACGTTGTTTGTTTCTTTACAGGAATATCGCCAACAGTCTTCCCAATGTAGCTCTTCCAAAAGTTCCAAGTCTGCCTCTTAATCTTCCACAGATTCCTAGCTTTTCTACTCCTTCATGGATGGCTTCTTTATATGAGTCCACGTGTGTATTCCTCACTTATTTCCTGGTGGTGTGTTAGCTAGTGCATGGCCTGGGCTGTGTTCTGTGCAGATGTGTTTAGATTGCATGGCGTTTATCATCGTTGGTCGAGGAATACTATGTTTTGGTTTTGTTTGTTTGATTTTTTTAAGCTATTAAGCTAAGCTTAGCATATTGATGATAAATGATACTGATTTTTTTTTGAAAAACACTCATTGGTTTGATGTAGTTCATATGTAATCTGTAGGGCAGGGGTCCTTTTGTGACCCAGGTTGTAGCCTCTAGTCTGATATAACTAGAGTTCTCCATTTTCAGACAATCAATGTGCTAAACGTTATGTCTGGGATTTTTAGGTGGCTCTAGCATTGTTACCACCCACATGATTTATCTTGTACATGTAGAGAACTGTTGTAAGAACAGTTTCAAGAATGTAATACTTTTCTATTTTTATCTTAGTCTCACCTTTAAAGAAATAATATTGCAGGTTGCAGAGAAGGGGTTTTCCTTTATTTCCCAAAACCGGCGAGTTCTTCTTTTGTCCTTTCATATATCAGTTGATGTGCCTTGTTATTTTTAAATACCCTTTATATCAGTAAAAGCCATATTTATTGACTCCACACTGTGATGAGCCTACCTACTGCAGATTCAGTAGCTAAGAGTCATTAAAGTAAGGACATGGGCTTTGAAATTGATGAGCCCCAAATTTAGATTCTGGCTTATTAATCAGAGTTCTTCTTAGCCTCAGTTTCCTCAACTCTAAAATGGTTATGACACCTAATTTAAAGACATTTTTGTGAGGATTAAAAAAAAAAAAACTATGGAGTCTGGCCCGGTGGTGCAAGCAGTTAAGTGCACGCGCTCCACTGCAGCGGCCCGGGGTTCGCAGGTTCGGATCCCGGGCGCGCACCGACGCACTGCTAGTCGAGCCATGCTGTGGCGGCGTCCCATATACAGCAGAGGAAGATGGGCACGGATGTTAGCCCAGAGCCAGTCCTCCTCAGCAAAAAGAGGAGGATTGGTATCAGATGTTAGCTCAGGGCTGATCTTCCTCACAAAAAGAAAAAAAACTATGAAAAGTGCGTGGGACATCCTAGGCACTCAATAAATGATAACTACTCCTGTTCTACATCATGATTGTTATTATTATTATCATCGTTCATCATCACTATTATTCATAACTCTAGTTTCCAAAGTATGAGCCTCTTAGCAATCAAATGAACTCAATAATAATAGTCCGTGCTTTGCCCAAGGTCTCATGTGAAGTCAGCTAGAAAGAATAATAATTAGAAGAAGAAAAATTACTACCATTTATTGAGAATGTATTATATTTCAGGTACAGTGCCATATTCTTATCTCATTTAAGCCTTGTAACATCCTCGTGAGGTAAATGTTATTATTCCCATGTTACAATTAAGGAAATGAAGTCATAAAGAAGTTGAGAAACAAAACTTGCCCAATGTCTCACAGTAAGTAAGTGGCAGAGGCAAGGTTTGACCCAGGTTTGCTTGACTCCAAAGCCCTCACTCCTATCGTTAACATAGTCTGCTTCCAGAGAACAAACTGGTTAAGAACTTGTCCAGTATCCTTTCTACCTGTCCTACCACCACCTGTCAAATCTGTTCCCAGTCTAGTCTGCCTACAGTCGAGAAAAGAGAGAAGAAAAGACCAATAAAGAGAATGATACTTGCAAAGTAATTTGGCTGTATTTCTCCAAATTAAACATCATCACTGTACTCATAATAGTTACTAGGATATTAGGTTACATGGGAATCTTTTTCTTACAGGGAAATGCTTTGGGCCATTATAGTGTGTAGAGTGGTGTCTGTGTGTGCTCAGGAATTATCCAGGAAGTATAACAAACCTTTATAAATTTATGATTTTTTTTACTTCTTTATGTTGTTTTATAATTTAATTTCCTCTTCTTCCTCATTCCTTACCTTTTTAACCAAGAACACTATTGGGCAATAGGTATTACCTTGTGAAATTCAGGGGGTTTTTGTCATTGCTGTTTATCAGCTTTGAGATATGTGTGAACCCTGAATCTCATTATTGGCAGCCACTTTTTAAAATGACCCGTGTCCCAGGACAGGAATCATGACACATTATGGGTTTGTAAGTAAAGTGCTTGTACTTTTATCATTCTGGGCAAATAAAAAATATGTTTTACAAATTTGTCATTATTATCTTTACCTGCCAAGGTTATCAACATTAGGTTCTTTGTCAAAGTGCCCAGAATTACTCATAATGTTATAATGTCATTGCAATTAGTTTTTTAAACTTTTGTTGTAAAGTATTAAATAGCAAAATCATCTCCATTTTACATATATGAGGAATTAAAAATACCTACTAATGTATAAATCACCTTAAGAGGTGATCCTCCAAATCTCCTCCTGAACATACAATCTCCTGTCTGGGTTTTTTAGCTCTAAAAGTGAATGCTATTAAGGTAAGTTCCCTGACGGCATTTTTAGAAAAGTATCTCAGACTCCATTATTTACATTTAAATTCTTTAATCTGTTAATAATACTTTTAAGAATAGGTCACTTATCAGAAATAATTTTAAAATGAAAAAGTTCTGAGTAAATTGCAGGTTCTACATACTGGCTCAAGAGAAAACCTATTGACATTTTTTTCATCTATCTATTTAATTATAACAAACACTTGTTATCTTAATTACATTCCCAATTAAGCACATTTATTGTTCATAATCTTACCATAGCATCGAAGAACAGAAAAAACACATCTATATTCTCTATAAAGATTTAATTGTCACATATTATGAGAAAGTCTATTTTTAATAGAATTCTACCTTTCCTGTTTGGGTTTTGCTTTGATGATGGTTTTTGTTGTTGTTGTTTTGTTATGCTGTTAAAGAATACATACCTGTTTCAAATAGTTACTTATATTTCTCCAAAGTAAAAAAAATATAAGAAGTAGATTTGCTTCTTTGCCAGTTATATTCAATTACTCTTAAAACATAGTTCTTTTAATCTACCAAATGGTATACTATGGATTTTGCTTGGTTATTTTTTCCTTTTATTTTTATTATATAAATGGCAAAAAGGAGAATTAAATATAGTGTTTTTTCAAACATTTTTCACGGCGATGTCAGCATGGTTGTCTGGTTCTTTTGTTTAATGGTGCTTTGGGGGCACTGAATATTAAGGCTAGGAGATATTCAGTGAGTGAAGTGTTATGGTTAGTGTTCAGTGTTTTGCTGTGATTGGTCCCTTGAGAATTGAACTCTGAGGACGCGTTGGCTAGACAAGGAGATCATGAGGAATTACTGGCAGAAGGGGAGGAGGAAAGCAAAGTAGGTTGGTGAAGGAGCTAAGATGCTGGGGGGGGTGTGTTGAGGGCAGAAATAAGCTTTTAATTAGCCAGTGCAGGAGGTGATTTTTTTAAGCTAGCTAATTAAGATATATTTAGCTAAACAATGTGGTTATTTAAAATAATTTGGTTTTTTATAAAAATTTTCTACAATATCTTTGTGTTAAAAAAATAAACTATATTTCTTTAATATTTTCTTTTACAAAGTAAAAATGTAAATTTTAGGTTAGTGTATGTTAAACAGTTGTTGGAAAGCTAAGGAGAAATGAATCATACGGCAGCTTTTTTTTTCTTTTCTCTTTTACAGTTAAGTTTCAATATATTTTAATGTAGGAATATTTTACTTTGAAAAAATCTGTTTCCCTATGAGGCTATACACTTGCATAATGGAAAGTGATACTATTATCCTTTGCTCAAGTATTATATGTACTCAGGTACAAGTTACGTTTATACATGGTGCAAGAATCTAGTCCCCTGGAGTGACTTTACCATCATAGAGAATGCAGAGCAGATCTTGGCTCCACACTTAGATGGATGTAAGGACCTGAAAATCAGGGCTGTGCTCCAACTTCAGAGCACCCTGAATGTCATGTCTTTGTTAGACCATACCTTGTACTATTAGGTTTAATTGTGAGCCAGGAAAGGCACAAAGCATTTCAAAATAGAAGCAAGATTTCTTCTCTACCCAGCCTGGTATTTCATTCTCAGTACCTGTTTCATCTTTACCTGTAATTGAGAAAATTAAGAAATTTAAGTATGTTACATACCTGTAGACGGACAGAAGCCATCATGATGACAGAGGCTCGTATGCATAAGTAGAAGTGTAAAGCTGCTAGTTGCTGTCATATGGATTTGCTTGCATAAGACATACTTCTCTGAATTTCTAGGAGGAAATATTTGTGCATTTTATCTTTATCCTAGAGATTGGGAAAGAACACTTAAAATATTTGTTTTTATGTATGCAATTTGATTTCTTTTCCTTAGTAAATTATCCTTATCCATTTTACCCCTTTTTATGAACCCTTACTACTATAGTTATTTCCATTTTGTTCTCCTTGCTTTGCCTTATTCATTAAGAAGTGAAAAGGAAGAATTAGAAGGTTGAACAGAGAAAATATTGATCATTAGAGATTTTATGTGTTGTTTTTTCACTGATGGCAATTGATGCGGAAAGGAGAAAACACTGTATTGGTGATCCACATCGCTAACGGTGAAAGTTCACGATGTTCTTCATTTTTCCTTTCTCTTCTAGCAACGGCTCAGCAACATCAGAAGACCTTTTTTGGAAGCTTGATGCACTGCAGATGTTTGTCTTTGATCTACACTGGCCAGAACAAGAATTTGCCCACCACTTAGAGCAAAGACTTAAACTAATGGCCAGTGATATGATAGAGGCCTGTGTCAAAAGGTAGACATGTATTTTCAAGTTGCTGCTTGATATGCCAGCACCCAAAATAACAGTTTTCACCAAGTACCTGTTATATAATTGTCACAAGAAAGGTTTCAGTATGTACTACTATTCCAAAACTTAATGGACATTAGGTTCTCTGACCCAAATTCTGGGGACCCGTGTAATTGATAAAATTGGCCTGATACTTTTGTTCAAGTCTCCTAACTATTGCCCTCCTCAGTAGCACACCTACCATATTAATCATTTCTGTTGTGCTTATTGTTATCTCTCTGGGAATACTGTGCTTTAAATTCCCGAGGCAATACTTCCTGAGACATATGGAAAAGGTCTGTTAAGTACTTTATGCATTATGTACTGTGTCTGTGTGCTGTGAAATGGCATGGCAAACTCAAATTATGATCAGTGCCATCAATTGTTCTGTTTTCTGGTATTCTGTATCCACATCAGATGAGTTCCAAGTATCCATTTACATTCTTCAGAACTTAACCAGAAATAAGTTATGAGGCTTTGGATTCTTCCAAATATGCTTTCGTTTTTTTTTTAATACTTCTTACAAAATCAGCATTGCATCCTAATTAGCCAAGCATTGTTTTTCCTGTTGCCCTTGTTCATGATATGTACAAGAACAATGTGGGCAGCATATTGGAATAACAAATACTAGTTGGAGCAATTGAATACTCTTGAATTCCTTAAAGCAAGAAAATCCTGTCTTTAGAATAATGGCCTCCTAAGGCAAGGCCATCAATTAAATTGTTTAATGTTTAAAAAAAATTGTGTTCATCATCTATGATTTTGATAGCTCAAATCTGTGAATATTCTTTGGATACTTTAACAAAACCAATTCCAAATTGCCTGTTACACAGTTTCTGTCAGAAACTTTACTGCAACTCTGAGTATTTGAAAGAGAACCTAAGGGACATAAAAGAATTAGACATTCTCTGTTGCTCATTAATTATGATGTTTTAGAGTTTTCCAGACTTGTACTTTTTTTGTTTTGGTAAACCCTCACACAGAGGACTTGTTCTGTTTTAATGCAGAGAAGTGAGTGATTTTTCTACTTGGATATTAATTCAGGCATTTAAATGAAACTGTGAGGTTTTTCCATTAAAAGTGATATACTAGATGTAGTAACGAATAGCTTCGTTTGAGTAGCTATTATCTGAGTGACTGCAAAAGCAATGTTTAATATAAAATATCACACTCTAATCTTTCATATGAGACACCCCCTAGCTCCCAAGCAATGCCACACTCCTTATTTGCATGTTTTAAATTAGCATCTTGTAGTGTTGATTTCACTTTTACAAAACAGGTGGGATGTATGTCAGAATTTCTTACTCTGAATTCATGTTTTAATGACTAGAACAAGAACTGCATTTGAACTCAAGCTGCAAAAGGCAAGCAAAACAACTGACCTGCGCATTCCAGCTTCTGTGTGTACCATGTTTAATGTATTAGTAGATGCCAAAAAGCAAAGCACCAAACTCTGTGCCCTGGATGGAGGACAGGAGGTAAGTGGGTTGAGTGTCACATGTAGAAATGCAGCACGGGGTGCTCTGGCAGAGGAGGTTGCTGTTTCCAGCAGCCTCTCTCTTGATTAGACTAAAAACACCCAGTTCTCCAATATAAGTGTTGGATCTTTCCTTTGCTATAATAATGGAATGCCCTTTATCCTTCGCTTGTGTCAGTTTCTTCTTTTTTATATGAAGACTACCTAAAATTTTACAAGTGGCCATTGAATTTCAGATCTACCTTTTTTTAACCGCTTAGGTGTTGTGTATTTACATAAACCTGGCTTTTCACAAGCAAATGAGAAAGCTAGAAAGTTACCTGCTTTGTTTATACAAATCTAGAGTGTTCAGAGTTTGCATCAAAAAAATTTTATTTACACAAAAGTTTCCATTTTTTAAAGATCAAGTAGAAACATACTCGAAAACTAGGCTTCATTCTTTTCAATAAATATCCCATCATTTCAATTTGATTTATATTTTGTTTGGTTCTATATTCAGAAAGGCATTTTATTTTACTCCATGATTTTTTTTTTATTGAGAGTGGTAATTGGTGAAAATGGGTCTATTTTTCTTTGATTATCTAAGTTGACGTTTTGTTACCTTTTGTTTCCCATTGTAATTATTTTTTTCTCCATTTCTTTATTCTTCCTTTATGTTCTCCTTCATCATCTTTTTTGTTTTCCCATGGCATGATCCAGTTTGGTAGTCAATGGGTAAGTCTCATTTTTTTTGTAAAAGCACATTTTCGTTTGAATTATTATTTTTGTAGATGTATATTTTTATTTTCATCTTTCAAATTAAAATAATATAATTAATTCTGTTTTCAGGTTTTTGGTTTCTGTGTGTGTGTATAACACTAACAGCTTACTGTAACACAGCAATACCCAAAGACACATTAAAACACACGTAAATACTTATACCTTAAATAACGTCAAGGGGAATGTTTCTTCCCTGTTACGCTGCAGAATCTACAAACAACTCTTAGATTTTGAAAGATAAAATTATTTAAAACCAAGTGAATTCACCCTCCTTTAAACTAAATTCAGAAGCAGAGTGATTATTAACATTTTCAAGATGCATATATCTATAGTACATACTTTTATTAGTACTGGAAGGATTTAGAGTTTGGAGCTTTAGATGACATATAGCATATATCAGGGTAACCCCTGAGTTTGAGGATCAGGAACCGCTCTTAAGGTCACTTCATATGGAAGAGCCCAATAGTGGATTTAAGTGAGGTTCATGCCTACCAGTGATACAGCCTTTCCTCCCACCCATGGCCTGAGATGTAACCATCTGCAGAGGCCGGGAAGAGGCAGGCTTGTGTCAGGAGCCCTTATCCTCCCTGCCACTCAGGGTTGTTTCCAGGTACCACCCAGAACCTCGGAGAAACATGATTTGAAAACTTTTATGCATACAAGATTGACTAGATTAAAAAAAAAGAAAATATATATATATATATATGATGTCAAAATGTTTTTGTGCTCTATGGATGTGTTAAATCTTACAAGTCTTACAGTTGACACCTACCTGAGAATCAAACTCAGGGCAACTCTACTGGGCTAACAATTCTCATCCAAGCAGAAGGACTTAGATAACCATGAAAGAGGATGAGAAGGCCCACTCTATAAATTCCATACTTATTTAACCCACCTATAGACATTAGCTATTTGGCCATAATTTGTGTGTGTATACACACATTTCATTCTTTGAGCAATTCAGGGGCAAAAGATGTATTTCTAATACCATAGCATACAACCTAACAGATATATTAAGTAATTGATATGTAAGTGTTGTAGAATGCTCAGTAATTATCATTCTCTGATCACTTACAATGTGATTTATTATTTCTAATTATCTGAATGAGTAGGCAGCTGGCTTGGATATCAATGGCTCATATCCATCTCCTCATGTTTTTCAATACCCAGATGTAAGCCTTTGGTTGTCTGCTTAAAAATATTGTCTTAGGTCTCTTCATAAGCCCATTCATTTCTCATCAGGTTTATAGAATCACCTTGCCTCTTACCATTAATACTGGATTTATCCAATTCTTCTTGTTTTAATATACACTGCGGTACCTGACACACAATAGGCACTTAGTAAATATTTGTTGAATGAACAGACTGATTTGTTGTCACTACTTTAAAAATCCTCCCCTGTAACTCACTCCAGTCCTTAAAAAGAAAAACAGGCACACACACAAATGACAAAACATTGCTGCATTGTCAAATGATTCTTTACCTTAATAGGTGGATGGTTTTGGAGAGTAATCTGCTACTGTTCATTATGTCTGCACCTGTACCTTCTCACCAGAGACAATTAGTTCCCCACAACTTTCACACAATTAATATAGTTCAAAATGTGCAGGTGTAAAACCCATTAGCAACCCTGAAAAGTGGTAAACAAGAATTTTAATGCAAAAGAAGAATTTTGCACTTTGCTTTTAATCTCCAGTAAATGTACCCACATAATTGCGCAGGCTTTCCCACTCTGTGTGCTCGAGATAAGTTTTGGAATTGTTGCAAATTAGTAAATACATTACACACATAGGTGAGCCAGTGGACCCCATTCTATGGTGAGCAACAAATAAAGTTGTTGAAAAAACTACACTATTTCACAATTTGGAACCTTATAAAAATATATACTATATAGGTAAACCTAGCAAAGATATTTTTCTACATTATAAGGAAATTACCTCTCCAAAGTCTTCAATAAATTTGTTATGTTGTCATTGCTGGGGGTAAAACCTTCCCGACTTGTTACCCTCAATGCAGCCCCTTCTGTCCTCCTAAATTATGGTTCTCTTTTCTTATGTGGCACATGATGATACAAACATGCTCAGCCACAGCACAGAACAGTGTTTAATAGGGTGATTAGTGAGTGAATGATCTGCTCATCTGACAGCTGTGTTTAATGAGTCAGCAATCTCAGGCCAGTCCCTCGGGACAGATGTTGAGATCACAAAACCACCAGTGTTTAGAAATCCTCCTTATCCACTGCTACAAAAAAGCAGATGACTGCATGGGCCTTAGGTAGTCATCTGCCCTCAGAGCCACTGCATCCCATCCATTGAGGATGAAAGCACATTAACGGGGAAACTCGGGGGCCCCTACTTGTGTAGAATGTATTCTCAATTACAGTAAAATGCTTCCATTTCCAGAACTAACAGTCCAGTACCTTTAAAATTCATCCCAAGAGAAAGACTAAAATCTTTTAAGAATGCTGGATTGCACTGGCATTTGATTAGTCTTCATTTGTTGTGGGCTTACATGAGAACAGTCGGGTGAAATGATGATATTTACCTGAGTGTAGGGGTGCCAAGCTTACAGACCTGTGCCTGATCTCGTGAATTCCTTGGGCTCCATAAAGTAAGAATTCCTGAATGGTTATCTTAATCTGAATTCAGAGTCATCTACTGGAAAAACAGGGCACAAAGTTTATTTTGGAGGGCAAATGTGGGGAGAATTAGTCTAACAAATGGGCTATAATGTACCAGAGCCCTTGTATGTAGGATTATTGATTCAACTTGAAATATTCTGATAGGAATTTTATAGCTTTTTATTGCTGCGGACAAAAACTTCGCAAATTTTTTGCAGAAATTTGGCCTGTTAATCTAAATGAAAAATCGATCAATTTTAGCTTAGGTAAGATAAATGTCTATGCAGGTAAAGTCTGTTCTTATCTGTTTGTGATCTCTTTTTGTATGTTTGTGTTTGTCTTTGGAAGCTATCTGGATCCCCTGATAAATAACTTTTTCTGGCTAACTTTCTATCTCTGTATGTGGCGTATGTGGGTTATTCTCTTTGCAGAATGTATATGTAAAATAGGAATTCTGAGGCCACCTTCCCACTCCCAACCACAATGCTCCTAGACCACTTCTACCAACTGTGCAGCTAGAGCAAATTCTGGAAGTTTCCAACAGTTTTAATATTAGTGTAAGTCAGAGCTATTCAGATAAGTCTATGATAGCAAAATCTCATAAAAACCTAACAAACCTTATACTATTGGGAGTTGCCCCTTGGGTAGTATATTTAAGGTATATACTTTTCTTTCTTCATTTTTAACTCTCTCTCCCTCCCTCTTTCCTGCCTTCTTTCACTGCTTTTGGCTAGATCATGTATCAAAGAAAATAGCAGTCTAAAGGTGTGTATTATAGGAGAATGTGATGGCTCCTTGGGTCCATGGCTTTCCCTGCCTTTAAATAAAAAGGGTGTATAAAGGACCTCATTAGTGGCTCATCTCTTGATTTTAAGAATTGCCAAAATCGGTACAACCCAAAAGTTTAACATTTAGAAGCTCTACTATTCTGTATCTAATAGCCTTCTGATGACATTTGATTACTTTTGAGTTAAAAAGTGACATTTATGGCAAATAGAGATAAACATTGAGGATAAGACATATTTAAGAATATGGAACCATTTGGAGGTCTGGGTCCCTCCATCCCTGTGTGTTCTGTAGCACTTTCCATGTAGGAGGAAAGTGAGAAGTTTGAAGCCCGTTTCCTATATCCCTTTCCTATTCCACCGCAAAGAGGAGCCCGTCAGTCTGGTATTTCATTTCCTCCTGCTGCACAGACACAAATTTGGAGAGAGAAGGATATGAAAAGAGAGTGGCAGGGAGGAAGGGCCAGAGCAGAGCTTATTTGCATAAGCTCCTCCACCTCTCAGTCTGCTGGACAGCTTCAGCCAGAGCCGGGGGGCCTTTTTTTGTATGTGCGTCTGTGGGAGGCTTTATGGCCATCTCAACTACCAGCCAGCTTTTTCAGGCTCTTTTCCTTCTGCCTCGTTTTTCTTTATTTTCTCCGCTTTTCCTTCTCTTCTCTGTTCTAAGAGCCGAGGCATCAGCACTACTGCAGTAGAAATCCACTCTCTCTGTTTCTGTCCCATGCATCCTCTAGGGAGCACAAGTTTAGGAATCAGTAAGGGGCTTGAAGTGAGATAGACACTTAAGATTTCACTTCACTGGGTGAAACACATGCCTAGAAAGTTCCACATTCATGTACATGTGCTTCATTTTAGACCACTTGTCAACACACACACACAAACAGAAAAAGAAAATAATTCACGTGCTTCAAAATTATGCTTCCTTTTTTTTATTGATGCAGGTAGATGACCACTTGTAACTGTCAGAGCCTATGGGGGGAAATCATTCCTGTGTCTTCCAAAGCAGACCTCAGTTGATGTTTTGTTCTGTGTGGAAACTTTGAGACATGTTTTCAGAAGAAAAAAATAGCTTGCAAAAACTTACATCTTAGGAAACCATTCAACCAGCAGCTGTTAAGTTGGTCTAATGTTTATACTGACCTGAGCACTTTTACTCTATGCATTATGTTTGCCGTTCCAAGAAGCCTTGAACCATCAAGATAGGGTTAGTCTTTACAAGTCACATTTTCTGTGAAGTGGCTATTGGGGACAATCGGCTGTCAGATAAATGCTTCTAAAGGAAGAATTACTGTTTAAATGAATGTGCCTTCACAAGCTGTGGAAGCCGAAACTCCTGCTAATTTAAGAATGGAACTCTCTCCTATTCTCTAAAGAAAGCAAAAAAAGAGTCTTTCAGGTTTATTTTAAAGACATCTTTTTTGTATTTTCTTAAAGGCGTCTTTTTCATGAGGAAGCAGTAATAAAACTATCGGGAGTGAGTGCAGTTTCATTATACCTTCTATGGCCTATTAATTTGTTACCATCTATTCACCTTTGTTGATGAAATTTTAATTTTGCCCTTGCTTGAGCGTATTGTAAGAATTGTGTAAACTGCTGCTCCCCGAGCTGGCAAAAAGGTCCTTTTAGAGTGAACAATTGAGAGCTCATTTTATTTCTAGAGCACATTTAAAATAACTTATGAATAAGAGTTGTCAGACATGAAATGCTGTATTAATTAAATCTTTTTCTAGTCTTTTTGCTTCCCTAGCTAAACCAACCCTTTAGAAAAATACACGGCCACCTTAATTATAGAGGAGAAGACAAAAAGTATCCTTCACATTCCTCTGCCTGAATAAGAATAAGAACTCAATTCATCTATATAATAACCCCATTAGCTGCTTAACTCAACAGTGCACATGGGAAAATTTTCAGACCACAGTGTAAAAAGTGTTGATTGGGTAGATCATTTTCAAGGTTTTGTTCTTCTAATGTTCAAAATGATAATTTTAAGTAACTCTGATGTGTCATGACTAGTAGCTTTAAAACATTTATGACAAAAGTTTTGTGTCTACATCAGCTAATGCGTCTTTGTCTTTTAATATCTAGCAACAGTACCATTCAAAAATAGATGATTTGATTGACAACACTGTAAAAGAAATCATTTCACTCCTAGTTTCAAAGGTAATGTATTATTCACCTTTTTAAATCAAATTAAAAAATCATTTTCAACTGAGAATTTTTAGAAATATCTGTCTTATGTTTCTAAATACCTGGAAAATAGTAGTTTTAAAAACAGATGCAAGAAAAGTTCAAGTTTTAAGAAAAGTTACAACCAAAATATGAACACTGTTTGTCAACAACTTTCGATTTTTTGTTCATAATTAATTTTGGCTTTTCTTGGAATTGTTGTCTGTTTAAAAATAACTTTATCTTCCAGTAATAACCTTATTATTTTGCATTCATGTCCTCTTACCATTTGTCTTCATCTCCAATGCTGATTTGAGTAGCGATCTGTCCTTGAATTTAGCCTTTTTATTGTGGTAACAGCACTGGGGCTCTAGAACCCGTCTCAAAGGCAGAAAGAGAAAGCTGGCAGGCTGGTGTCTGAGGTTCTTCAATCCCAGGCATCTCCCACAATTTCCTGTTTGATGCTCCAAATATCTTTGACAAAAGCTATGGCCTTTAATTGTATAAATAGAAAGGAAGCATAAAGGAGTGTTCCATGGAATGATTAGATGATTTAAAATCCCACTAAGGTGTAACAGACTGCCATGGATGACATTTGAGATCGGAGTCTGATAGGGAAAGAGACAGAACCTGAGAGCACTGGGAACTGAAAGAGGGTGAGGAGACAGAATGGACATACCCCAAGGGCCACTTTCATACGAGCAGAGAAATCCTTTGCTCTCACAAGGCTCAATCAAAGAACCCCAAATCAACCTGCATAAAACAATTGGAAGAATGTACAAAAACCAAAAGAAAACCACTCCCAATTTAATAGATGAATAGTTGTTTAGAAAAACAACCCCCAATTTAACTAGACAAGTAGTTGTTTAGAAAAGAAGAAAAAGCAGAGATGCCCAATAAACATGAAAAATGTTTATCCTCATTAATAATTTAAGGAATGCCAAAAAAAAAAAAACCAACCTACAATGATATACTATTTTTTATAGCAAATTAGCATAGATGTTTTTAGGCTAACACCCAGTTTTAGGAAAGGCGAGGTGGAACACTCACGTTAACTGTATGTGGTAGTATAAATTGTTACAAGAAGATAGTTTGGAACTATATCAAGTACATTAATACCCTTTACCTAATAATTCTTTTTGCATTTTTTCCGACTACTCAAAGATATGCACAAAATATATCTATGTTGATATTGTCACATTATTTCTGATGAAAAAGTGAAAACAACTTGAATCTCAAACATGAGGGGAGTGGTAGAGTAAATTGTGGGACATCTATGTTAAGAAACCATGCTTTCAAAGACCATTCATGATAAAGGAAAGGTTTCGTAACATAGTATTAAGTGAAAAAAACTGAATATTTAGAGATGTAAAATATGATCTGAATTTGCATGGCATAGAGAAAGGACTGTTAGGATAAACACGAGAATGTTGACTGAGCTGTTCTCTGGGTTGTGGGATTATAGTTGCTTTGGAGGTTTTCCTTCGAATTTTTTTGTATTTTCCAAATTCTTTGGTAGCAGGTCTTGAGGTGGAAAATAGTCACAAAGAAAGATGATTTTAGAATAGGACCACCTCGCTAGTTTGTTGTTCTTCCCCTGACTTCTCCCACCACAAGAATAGCTACACATACATGTACAACACACACCAACAAGTGGACAGGGAAAGGTTACCAGGGAAACCATCCAGGAAGTGGGGGGAGAGGTGAACCCCTGGAGAATGAAGCTCCTAGAGAAGCTCCTGTCCTCCCAGGAGCCCAGCCCAGCAGCTTGCAGTAGTGCACAGTCAGCCCACTAAAGTGAAATAAAGTCAGCATTGCACCTTCATGGTCTGTGTGCTGTCCAGGGAAATTTTATCCAGGTGGAGCCTCCCCATCAGTGCGGTTCTCCTGTGGAAGTTGTCTTTTGTGATAAGGGTGCATAATGACAGTCATTGAGTTGCATGCTAGCATGCAGTTGATAAAGGGTTAAAAAGGCAGCAAGGAGAAAAGGCTATAACTAGTTTTATTTGGTGGGGATGGGGAGGAAGGGTGCAGAGGAGGCAGGCAGGGCTGCATATCATCCCTGCATTTGTTTCTGGCAAAGTAAGAAAGTTAAATTTTTCTATATCAAATGTATCTGGTTAATTGAAAAAATAGTATATTTGAGTTAAGTAAGGACATGTTGTTCTAGAGATCAGCACCATCCAAAAGAACTGTCTGTGATGATAAAAACATTTTTCCTGCTCTGTAGCATAGTACAGTATCCTCCAGTACAGTAACTTCCAACCCCATGTGACTGTGGAGCACCTAAAATGTGGCTACTGCAAGTGAGGAACTGAAATTTTAATTTTACTTAATTTCAATTTAAATAGCCTAATGTAACCAGCTATTATATTTGGAAATCAGGTCTAGATTATAGTTTTTCTCTACGGATCCTTTCTCCTGCAGTCAAATAGCAATTATTAATAATCTTTAATTCTTTGGTTGAAAAGTATAAAATTAATTTGATAGTTTGAACGAACCATCTTAAGTTTCCTTAGGAAGTGACAATAACTAGTGGTTTTTATTTCATTAAGCAAAGATGAATACAATTCTGTAATACAATTCTTAAATGTTAGCATGCCAAAAAATTACCTGAGAGGCTTTTAAAATGCAGATTCCTATGCTCTGCTTTCCAACCATTCTGAATCAGAAGTTAGGGAAGAGGGGCAGGGATATGCATGTGTAACCAGTCACCATGGTGATTTTGTTGTAGGGGCTCCTGAGCCAGACTTGGAGAAACACTGCTCTGATGAGTCTCTATCCAGGCTGTCATGCAAACTACATTTAAACTTCAGTATATTTATAAACAAAACAACATCTAAGATAGCGTGTTCACATTTGTTTTCACCAAAGAAGAAATGATTTTTTTAAAGGAGGTATTTATGAAGTGCCTACTGTGAAACAGCCACTACACATATGTTATTTCGTTCACACTGCACAACACTTATGAAATGGGTGATCTTACCCCATTTCACAGATAGGAACGTAATCTTCAAAGTAGTTTAGTAAACTGACCAGAGTCGCACACCTAATAACTGAGAGAGTCAGGATTCAAACCTCTGATCTTCAGATTCCTAATCGAAAGCACTTGCTGATTCCAGATCTCTAGGAAATCAGTAAAAAGCAAAATAGACTATAAAAATTAAATTAAAATATATAACATCTATGTTGACTGTCTTTACCCTGTCAAATTCCCAGAGTCGTGTCCTAGGCATTTTTATAGCATATTAATTAACTCAATATAAAGTAGATGAATAGAATAATGAATTCCTTATATTGCATCCCAGATGTTTATTCCTGTATTTTAATTGTTCCATGCATATTGATAAATATATTTGCTACATTTGGATAAATAAGAAGCAACACTTTTCTTTTTGGATAAAAAAGAAGCAACTTTCTTTTTACCTCCTCTCTTCAATCTCACCTTCATATCCTCTTCTTATCCCACGTCTTCAGAAATAACTTAAGAATGAGCCAGTACTCTTAATCACACATAGCACTCAACAGTATATGCCCCAACTGTACACGCATTTTACATGCCCAGAAAATATCGTGGCTTTCCATCTCGGTGTCCTCTCTCCACCTAGCAGCTAAATGGTGGTATTCCTTGAGTTTCCATCGTTAGTCTTCTTTTGAACTCATTTCACAAATGTTTGTGACTTTCACACTTCTGGCTTTCACTGTATGTTGATGACTCCAACTCTGTCCCTGAGAGGCAGTGTGGAATCATGGTTAAAAGCCCAATTTCATACCTGAGGCATTTAATGTCTTCATCCTAAGAGCAATGGGAAGTCACTGAAGGGTCAGAGAGGCAGGGAGTAGGGGTAGGGAGTTAATCATATTTGCATTATAAGAAGATTACAGAGGGGATAGTAAGGAGGCTGTTACATTGGTCTCTAGTGGACTAATCCAAAGACATTTAAGGTATACAATGGTCAGGGTGCTATAGACTGAATGTCCCCCCAAAATTCATATGTTGAAACCTAACTCCCAGTGTGATGGTATTTGGAAGTGGGCACTTTGGAAGATGATTAGGTCATGAAGTTGGAGCCCTCGTGAATGAGATTAGTGCCCTTATAAGAAACAGCCCACAGAGCTCCTTCCCCCTTCTGCCATGTATGAAAACACAACCAATAGACATCATCTGTGAACCAGGAAGTGGGTCCCCACCAGATTCTGCATCTGCCAATACCTTGATTGTGGACTTCTCAGCCTCCAGAACTGAGAAATAAATGTTTGCTGTTTATAAGCCACCCAGTCTATGATATTCTGTTATAGCAGCCTGAACAGACTAAGACAAGGGGTTAGAAATGGGGAGAGAAAGAAAAATATTAAGGATTACTCCTAGGTTTATGGCTTGAAGCCCAGGGTGTGTGTTGATGCCATTCACTGATGGGGGTGCCCTGGAAGAGGAACAGATGTAGAGGGAAAGACCATGATGTCAGTATTGGAGAAGTTGCTGTTGAGCTGCCTCTGAGACATCTGAGGGAGGAGATACTAAGGGGAGACATTCAGGTATTTGGGTCTGGAGTTCAGAGGAGGGATATGGGATCAAAATACCAGTGTGATAAGATTTCAACCATTGGAAATGATTCTGTATCAGTGGCTGCTATTGTCAGGCAGATGTGCTATAAGTGGAACCTCTATGGAGAAATGAAAAGCCACTTGAAAGAAAGGGAAAAAAAGATGTTTCTAGCCAGAAAAGAATTTAGGTAATCTTTTACTGAGGGGAAAAAAAAAATGATAGCAGGAACGTTAAGTCTTGCCAAGGAAAGGATACAAGAAACGCCATATTTATTGTCAGCTTATATTAAAATTAATTAAATCAGCCCAAGTGTGGGATAGTCAGAAGAGTTGGACTCAGTTCCTGTTTCTTCGTGTTACCAGCTGCGTCTCCTTGCACGACTCAGTTTCCTCATCAATAAACCAGGAGTATTAGATAAAAAACATATTTACAGCCTTTTCTCTAAGAC